CTTGCTACGCAGGCTACACTTGCATACAGCTTGTTGTTCATGCTCTAAACTGAAGCGTTTATGGTAGATTTAACAGATATCTACCTCAATTAAACGAAAAGATTAACTCAGCCTGTAGAGCGTTTGACTGCAGGAGAGGGAAGTCACGGAACCGGATCAATACTGAGGGTCTTAAAAGAACTAAAGGAACTGAGTCAAACCCCGTTACTACAGACACTGAGGGGGGCATAAAAAGTGTCCGTATTAAGGGGGTTGAATTAAGAGAAAATGTAAGGGTCTATTTCCACCAGGGACAAACATTGAGGTGTCTGTATTGAGCGGGTGTCCTTAAAGAGGGGTTTGACTGTGCTGTTGCCCCGTCCTGCAAACTGCTCAGTTGACCTACACGTGACTCAGATGATCACTGGACACTGGACACACTGGTCCATTCCTCAACACATGACGGTCTCATTGACAACGATAAAATTTGAACAAAAAAGCATTCTTTATTTTTGATTATCCTTTAATGCGTTTTCAACAAATCGTTATACAATTCGGTTAACGTATGTTATAATTAACGGACCTGTTTAGAAAAAAACCGTACTTGAGCTAAGGGCTCGGGAATAATATTTCCAAAAATACACTGGCTAACAACAAGCAACTACTGGAAAGAAAATGAAAAGGTGCACAGCATAAAAAACAATTTTGATACCAGACAATTTAAACTCCTTATTCAACTATAATCGGAAATTAAATGAGACTACAGTACAAATGAAAAAAGGATAACAAAATATATTTACAAGTTGAACGTCATTTCAGTTATTATTACAGCTACTATTGCAGCCATGATTGTATAATGTATTGTAACATTCACAGAAAATACAAACTACGCGTAAGAACAACCAAATGCGCCTCACCCACCCCTCCCCCCCCCCACAACTAAGAAAGGTCAACAGTGACAAATACCTCATGAGATGGTGTTGTTCGAAAAATCACAGTTTCTTATTCTAGATTTGAGCAATTTGAACCATACAACAATAATACCAGTGGCAGATCCAGGGGAGGCCCCCCCCCTCTTATTTTTTGAACAAAATGAGGCCTGAAGGACGAATAAAATTTTTTTGGAGACCGGGCCCCCCCTTATCTGAGGGTCTGGATGACTGCCTCCCCCCCCCCCTCCCTATCTGAGGGTCTGGATCTGCCACTGAATACCGCTGGTAAGATCATATTATAACTGGTCAAAAACCTGGATTCGGTTGTTGTTCATATCACACACAGCTATCCTTCTATCACTAAGATTCGCTGCAGACACTGGACACTTGAACTCATAATATAAATCATATAAATGTTAACGCACTCATTGCTCGTAAAAAATTATCGGGATTTACCTGTACTCATTCACTAAAAATGAACTCGTACGGTATTGAAATTTCTCGTTCATTGTTGGGGATCTCGTGCAGGTAAATCCCGATAATTCAGTCGCTGGGTGGTTAACCTGTAAACAACTCACCCACCAACCTTACTCAGACCCCCTGGAAAAAACCTCTGTAAGCAACCCCCCAACCCCTCGGAAATTGCCTTCTTTTGAACTCCCCCTCCCCTCGGAATTTCCGTATGTGTGTGTGTGTGTGGGTGTGTTTGTGTGTGTGTGTGTGTGTGTGGGGGGGGGGGGGGGGG